AAAAAAAAAAAAAAAAAAAAAAAAAGAAAAGTCTGTTCCATCTCCTTCTCCTCTCCTTACCATACCCGCTACTTCTAAACTTTCTCTTGCTTTGCCCAAGGCCTAATCTCATGATGCTTCTGCCCATGACAAAACCCCATTAGACACAGCCCAGGCGAAATTTCATTAGACTTTAGGCAAAAGGACAAGTCTCACCGAATATATTAGGAGGTATCAAAATAAGAATTCCTAATAACAAATCTACATGTATTACTTACTGTCCTTTAATGGAAGTACGCACGAGTGACCTTTGTCCTCTTTCCTTAAAAAATATATTTTAAATATTTATACCTGTTCTTGTGACTTGAAGGAGTAAGTGCTATATGAGGGTTTCAGGTGCCACATCCAGAGGTAGTATACCAAGTTAAATCTTTCCCAGGGAACCTTCTACCTCCAAGTTTACATATTTCTAAATACTTCCCTCATGCTTCTAACTCACAGACCACAATCCATGTTTTGGGAAACTCTAGCTGTTCTCAGATTTTGGCCTTTAGCCCAAATCACTCCCTTCCCATACACCAATCTAAATTAATTGCTCTAAATCTCAGTAGTGAGGCATACAGCAACATCTTGACCAGGGCTCAGCAAAGGTTTAAAAGAGGGAAGTCAAATATGCACCACCCAACCCAGGATAGGGCAGGCACAGACCTAAAGCCAACCCACTGTGACTCCTCACCCCCATCATTGGGAACTGAAGGCGTACATCTAGTCTCCTAGTTTTATATTTAGTAACTACTGGGCTAAACCAAAGATAAAGAATTCTCATGTGTTCATTAATTCATTTTATGAATATTTAGTGCGCACCTCTGTGTGCCAGGAACTCTCCTCATTTTGGGGGGCATTTTTTCCTCTCTGAAGTCTGTATTCTGGTAGAGATGTATACTAGGTATTTTCTGTGTACTCTGCCAGATCTTCTCTCTACTCATCTTCTGTGTGTTTTGGTAGACCAGTCTTTTTTGTTTTGTTTTGTTTTTGTTTTTTTGTTTTTTGAGACAAGCTCTCACTATGTAGTGGAGACTCACCTAGAGCTCACTGTGTAGCCCAGGCTGGTCTCAAACTCACAGCAATCCTCTTGCCTCAGCCTCCCAAGTGCTAGGATTATAGGCATGCGCCACCACGCCCAGTTTAGGAGACCAGTCTTTATGGATTGCCTCAACTGGCTGCTTTGCCTTTGGCTTCTGGTTGGTTACACCAATGAATAGCAACAGGACACCAGACGGAAGCAGCAGAGTGAGTCCGGTTTGTATCCCAACACTCCCTGCTGGGTCACAGTCCTGACAGATGACCTTTCCTATGAAGTACAGATATTCTTTCCAGGTTCAAGTGTTCCTGGCCTCACCCTGTTAAGGCTTAACATGATAACAGTTTCATTTGCTAAAAGGAGTCCACCATCCCTGGGCAGTTTCCCTTTACCTTCTTATATCCTTGTAAATGGACAATGTCTTGTTACTTTTCTTGTTGCTCAGACAAAATACCCTACACCCAGAGTTAAAAGGGTTTTTTTAGCTCACAGTTTGTAAAGGCTTCAGACCACAATTGCTGGCTCCAAGGCAGAGTGGCATGGCAGAGGGACCACAGTTCTTGGAGGACCGAAGGTAGCAAAGCAACAAAGGAAGTCTTTCTGCTCCATTTATCTTATCTAGACTATTTAGAGTGGGTAGCATTCACACCCTTAATCCTACCTAGTACCCTCGGCCTAGCATTGTACCATGAATCAATCACATACCCTAGATTCAGTCACCTCTGAAAAAGCCCCACCTAATACCACATGAGGATTTGGGGGTACATTCAGATCCAAATCATAACAGACACCTCTCCTATTTAAATAGGATGCTTTCTGCAGGAATCTTAGTGATACAAAGAAAGTGATATATAATTAAAATGTTTCCTGATACTGCTCATATAATCTAGGTATTGTTAAATAGGGCAGAGTGGAGGATGCTTGTATTCCCAGCACTCAGAGGTTGAGTCATGAGGACTGCCACAAGTTCAAGGCCAGCCTGGGCTACATAGTGAGTTTCAAACCAGCCTGAACTACATAGTGAGGCTCTGTCTCAAAAAAACAACAAAAACAATGGAAATCTAGGTATTGTTAAAGGAGACAGACGTGGATAGAAAGGCAGTATACAGAGTGGTTAGGAAAGTCTCTTTGAGTGGGTAACCTGACTAGAGAACAGAATGCATCAATACTCTGGGGCAGATCATTTCAGACAGAGGGAAAAGTGTGGGGAAAATACCAAAGCAGGAAGAGCTTTGCATGGTCAAAGAAGAAAAATAAAACAATGTAGTTAAGGAGGTGGAATGTAATATACATGATCAGGCAGAGACACAGGCAAGTTCTGGTCACGGGAAGGAGCTTAGAGTTCATTCTAAGGCAATGGGAGGACATGAGAGTGGTTTAAGCAGGAGAGTAACACACAATCAGCTTTACATCTTTGAAAGCACTCCCTTCCTCAGGCTGATCTGTGAGAAGATTCTTGGGGACAGGGAGGGAAAAGGCAGATCTGCCAGTCTGGCCATAGTGACCGGACAGGGAGATGGTGGTAGACATGGATAGTGAACAGGGTCAGGCTGAGACTTGCCAGTGAATGAGATGTGAGGGGAAAGAAAGAAAAACACATCAAGCGCAGAGGATTTGGGACTTTGGTAGCTATCTATGTGATGGTGCAGATCACAGCAGGAAGAGGGATGATGGTGGTGGGGAAGGAGGGGACAATTTAAAAAAGACATCCAACTGGAGATGCCAAGATAAGGGATATAAATGTGGGCATCACCAGCATGTAGAGGGGTATTTAATGCAGGAGGGCTAAAGCAACTGACAGAGGGAGGGAAGGCAGTTCACATGCAGCATTTAAATCTGGGATGATGAAGAGAAATCGCCTTCTAACTGCTCGTACATTTCAAGGTGCTGCTCTCTCAGCAAGACAGTGTGTCACATTAATATTCTGAACAATGTTTAGTTTCTCTCCTTCATTTCCTTCTTCCAAATTGTATGTCTTCAGGCCTGCAGAAAATAAGAAAGAGGCCCAGCTCTGAGCTATAGGCCTTTCACACCTGCTCCCTTAGAAATGCAAAGAAAGTCTAGAGCTGCAGAGGTGACTTGATTAATCTCTCTCTCTTCCTGTTTTCTCAGTTTCTGTCTGGAGGGAAGGAATGACTTTATTCATTCATATTTTCAACAAACATTTACTAATAACCTACTGTTGGGGCTCAGAAAAATAATACCCCAAAACCCAAAGGATGGCAACTTTGAACTGAAGGAACAACCTCAACGTTTCTGACTTTTCCCTAACCACTGCATTATCTTGAATTCTCTTTCTCTTTCAAAGCACACAGAAGGGCTTCCCTGAAGCTCTATCCCAGAAGGAATGCATTCAGTATGAACTTTCCTTCATGAGAAAAAATGATTAAGTACTAGAGAAACAAGAGGTTTTAAAGGACTCTACACCCAGGACACCTCTTGGACCCTAACTGACTTTTCAGCTAAGAAAATCCAAGAGTAGCTCCAAGAGATTACCCGAGATCTGCATATATTCTAGATAAGAGTCCAGAAAAAAATATGAGAAAATGAAAAAATGGAAATGAAGTATTTGTAAATAGGGAAGGGAAGAGGGGGTGAAGGGAGGGCAGGGACGAGGGGAAAAAACGAGAACCAAGACCTGTCATATAAAGGTACAAGATCCCAATGATGAATGTAACTGTACTGTATACCTAGAATGTATGAATAAACTCAATGAGACAAAAAAAAGAGAGAGAGAGAATACCTGAGAGACTTTAGCTGTGTAATAGATGGCTCATGTTTGTGTGCATCCTGCCACTCACTCCTGTAACTCATCAGCTTCACCCTCTGGGATACCCCAAAGCCCTTCCTAGCCAAGTCTCTATTCTCTGCTGTCACACTTCAACCAGTCGGCCCTTCAGGGAGGCTCAAACTTTGTGTATCACTATCATGTTGTGATTTTTCTCTGTGTAAATTAATAAATTTGAGTATCTTTATCCAACAATCTAATATGTTTATTCTCAATTTCCCTACACTACTGTGGGTCTATGGGTACAGGTGTTGCAGTTAACACAGGAGAAAAAACAAAACTCCGTACCTTCAGGAAGCTTATCATCTGGAGAAGGAGACAGAAAACAAACAACAAATATCACTTTAGAAATTTAATGATACATTGCCTTAGCAACTAATAAAACCTATGGAGAGGGAACAAAGGGGCATCTACAGCACAGAGGTGGATTCTGTTTTAATAAGGTGTTCAAAATGGGTCTCGTACTAGCAGCAAAGAAGAGGTGAAGGATTAGCTCAGCAGATGTCTGGATAAAGTCCAGAGGGAAACATCAGGGCAGGGAACAGACTGAGGAAAGAGCAGTGGAAAACAGTAAGGAGGCTGATGTCACTTCATGCACATTCCTACAATGCCCTTCCTCCCAGCACTCACTGAGCACTGCTCACCCTTCAAAGGCCAGTTCAAATCCTGGTATGGTTGAGGGTAGCTCCCAGAATTTTGCATTGGAAATTTAATTCCCAAAGTCATAGATTAGTGGTATTTTGAGGTGGGGCCTTTGGAAGCTGATTATGATTAGATAAGGTCATGAAGACTGGATTCCCATGATGCAAATTAGTGGCTTTACAATAAGAGGGAGAGAGAACTAAACTAGCAAGATGATTCTTCCTCACTATGTGATTCCCTTGCTGTCTCAAGGCTCCGCGGACTGTCCCCACCAACAAGAAGGCTCTCACCAGGTATAGTCCCTTGATCTCAGACCTCTGGAATCATGAGCTGAATAAATCTTTATTCTTCATAAATTATCCAGTCTGTGGTATTTTATTATAGCAACAGCAAATGGACTTAGACTCTCCTCTGCAATGCTGTTCCCAAATAACACAATTCATACTCACCTTTCTTCTCTCTGAACTACCTTAGTACCCACAATCAAGAAGTTGTTTTCTGGGCCAGTGATTTAGCTAAGTGGTTCTGCTGCCTGCTTTGCAAGCACGAGGATATAAGTTCAATCCCTGGTACAAAAAAAAAAAAAAAAAAAAAAGGGTTTTTTTCTAATAGTTTTATTAATTTTTCCTCCCCAACTCAACTCTGAAGCTTTCCAGACCCAGAGGGCCATATTCTTTGTGTCATTGGTGATCCCAAAGTGAATAACAAATGTGATTGACTCACTGGCTAAATAAGGAATTCTTAAGCAATTGATATTTGACTCTGACAGACAGGGAAATAAATATATATTCACATGTGCCCCTTTCTACGATATGGTAGTAAAACCAAAAGATTGGACCAACATTGCCAGGGGGGATGGAAAGAGGCAGCCTCTGTTGATTATGATTTGTCTAAATGATGCATGTTTGTGCCAAATAATAGATTTTAAAAACACTAGAGTATGAGAGACAGATAACCCTCATGTCACAGGGAAGAAAAAATGAGAAGCAGAGAAAAAGAACAAAAATGGAGATTTTTTTTATAAATTTTACATTTTTAAGTTATGTTTGTGATGCACAATAATTACATTCATCTTGGGGAACATATGTAATATAATATATATAAATATCCCATCTAAATCATTTTAGCTTCCCCACGTTCCCATCTCCACCCATCCCAGATCTACTTCCCAATTCCAAAAATTTTACCTCCCTGTTTTTACCACCTATCTTTTATTTTACTCTTTAAATTGCTTTTAAGTTTCTCCTATAAGAGAAATCCTGTGATATTTAACTGTCCATATCTGATTTCTTTCACTTAGCATTATGGTCTCAAGGTACAGCCATTTTCCTACAAATGACTTAAGTTTTTCCTTCTTAACAGTTGAGTGGTACTCTATTGTGTGTATATATACTGCGTTTTCTTTACCCATTCATTTGTTGATGGGCCTATAGGCCACTTCTAAAATTTAGCTTTATGAGTTGCGCTGCTTTAATCAGGGGTATACACTGTAATGTGATATCGATCTCCTTTAGTAAGATATCCAGAAGAGACAGGGCTAAGTCAAATGAAATTTATATTTTTAGTTTCTTGAGAGATTTCCATACAAAATCTGGTTTTAAAAAAAGAAAAATTAATCTATGAGGAGCTAAGAAAAAATAGCAAAAGCAAAACAATCCAATTTATGAGCAGGCAATAGATACAAATACACATTTCTCAAAAGAAGGCATACCAAATGGCCAACAGGCATATGAAAAAATGCTCAACATCACTATGAGGGAAGTTCAAATCAGAACTAAAATGAGATTCCACCTCACTCCAGTAAGAATGGCTATTGTCAAAAAATAAGTGCTGATGAGAGTGTAGAGAAAAGACTTTCACATTATTTGTGGGAGGATATATTTAGTAGAGATATTATAGAAAGTAGTGTGAAATTTCCTCAAAAATTTAAAGCTAGAACTACCATATGATTCAGTAAAACCACTCCTGGTTATATATCCAGAGGGAATGTAATCAGTATACTAAAAAGACATTTGCACTTCTGTGTTTATTACAGTACTATTCACAATGACCAAGAAATGGAAGCAAACTAAGTGTCCATCAATTCATAACTGAATAAAGAAAATGTGGTTCATTTACACAATGGAGTGCTATTCAGTCATTCAAAAGTTATGAAAGCTTGCCAGTTGTAACAGCGTGAGTAGAAATGGAGATTATTATTTTTAGTAAAATAATCGAGGCACAGAAAGATGAATACCACACTCACTCATATGTGAAATACAAAAACGTTGGGTGTGGAAAGGTTGATCAAGAGATACTGAGATACAGTTACAAAGGAACAAGAGGTTCTTGTGTACTACTGCACAAGAGGCTGACTATAGATAATGATAATATACTGTATACTTCAAAAAGCTAGAAAGAAGGATTTTGCCTGTTGTCACCATAAGGAAATGATAAACGTTTGAGGAGACAGATATGCTCAAACTGGTTTGAACATTGCACAATGTATACACGTATCAAAAACATTATATTATACTACATAAATATGGATAGTTTGTACGGTTTTATGTGTCAGTTAAACAAAAAAAAAATTTTTTTTTTTTTTTTTTTTGTACCAGGGGTCAAACTTGGGACCTTGAGCTTGCAAGGCAGGCAGTGGAACCACTGAGCTAAATCCCCAGGAGGAAAAACAGTACAAGAGAAACTGTCTTGGTGCCTGTATAGATATACTGGCAAAGCTGACAAATGAGTTTCTCTGTTAGGTTTCCCAAAGCCAAAACTTAAAGTAAACATCCTTGATCTGCCATATTCATTACCAAGTCATGCCTTCATTTTGCAAGAACACTTATTTTCCTTCACCCTTGGTGAAACACAAAAAATAAAGTTGGAGCTGAGTGCAGTGACACAGCCCTATAATCTGAACTTGAATTCAAGTTCAAGCCCAGGCAACTGGAAAATAAAAAATGGCCAGGAATGTAGCTCAGTGCGAAGGCCCTGAGTTCAATCCTCAGTACCACAAAATAAATAAATACACAAACAAACAAAGCCAATGTTATAGGGTTATAGCAGTTTTCCTTCCGGACCTATTTGCATTAGACCACAAATGGGACACCAGCTTTTATCCACTAGGAGAGAGTGCTGAGGACACCTGTACTTTCTCTCACTCAGTCCCTGGCCCCTTCCTTTCCATGTAAGAGGAAGAGGCTAGACAGAGCACACCGGTAACAGGACACATTGCTCAGGACCAGGGCCACTCCAGGGAAGAGGATCAGCTTTGGCGCTCCTTTTTACTTGGCCTCTCTGATCACCTTGTTCACGATGGGCAGCTGTGCTTCCTCTCCCAGCCAGTAAGCAGACACATTGGGCCTTTTGCCAGACTGGGCCAGTCTTGACATTTCCATGTTGAGAACTGCTAGGTCAGAATGGGAAAGGTAAGGACAGTTTTAGTTTGGGAAGGAGGTAGAAGACCTTGCCACATCTCCAGCATGAGGGTCAGCATTGTGCTTTTCATATTCTCAATATATAAGCAACTGTAGAAGGGGAAGGGTGATTAATTAGCACTTGAGGATTTCCAACACAACTGAATTCTCCTGACAACAAGGCAACTAGAGCAGTATCTAAGATACTTAAGCATTCAAACATATCAGAATCTATCTCATGATAAAAACAAGAAGGAAGACTCTTCAACTGTTTCTCCAAGAAACAGATGCAAATTTGTGGGTCTGTTGTTTCAAGTAGTAAGATGTTTCAAGTAAGTAACTAAGAAATAATCCGTATTCTTCATATTAACAAATAAAAAGTAAAACTATTGAAGATATAGTCTATTGTTCATAAAAATTTTCAAAGTGATACTGAACATCTCCTGTGATGCGTCACTGAGAAGGATACAATGTCACGTTAGTGGTATTCCTGGAAAAAATGCAGAACGTGAAATAAATCATAAGGGAAAAAGCAGACAAACCCAAATTGGGGAAAATTTTATGAAATAGGGACCTATACTCTTCAAAAATGTCAGTGTTAAAAATACAAATACCAAGAAATGGTTGCAGATTAAAGGAGACTCAAGAAACATGAGGTCTAAATGCATTGCGTGGGATCCTAGTGAGGAAAAGATAATTCCAAGGAAGAACACTTTAGAATAATTCACAAAATTTAATATGGATTGTTATTAGATAACAGCCTTGTAGCTGTGTGAGATTCTCTAGATTTGATGTTCACAGTGTTGATGTACTAATGTTCTTAGGAAATGCTTGTTGTTAATGTTATGCTCTCCACAGTTTATTCTCATAAAATTCAGCAAAAACAAATAAATAAATAAAATACATCATATATAATTAATTAAGATATATGAGTTATACAGAAAGCAAATTTGACAAACTATAACACAGACTGATCTAGGTGATGAGACAGGGCATCATCTCATTTTACCACTCTTGCAACTTTTCATTAGGGCTGAACATTTTCAAATAAAAAGGTTAAATTAATACTTCTCAACAAGACATTGAAATTCTTATGTATTCTTAAAACTCCAAGTGAGAATTGAATAAGTCTTGCGGATGCCATAAGAGACAGAAAATAATTTTGTAATAAATACCTAGGGTTTCAGTGCACTTAGGCAGTGATTAGGTCACACTGCATAGGGATCTAACTATCTGAACACAACTTCCCACTCTGCATATCAAAAGGACGTTCCCAAGAGTTATGCAGGGTTAGAAAGTGTGGCCCTTAAAGTGAGATTCCTTTGACTAAATCTGTTGTGGGACCATTTGCAGCCCTCCTCACACTCCATCCCTCTCTGAGCTTGCATCTTTCCATCTTCTCCATCCTAATTCTGTCTACCACTGTACTGCAAGCACAGCTGTGCTTCACAATGGTATAAAATTTTTTTTTAATTATTTGGTACTCATAATCATTGGTATCACAGATTATGTTTTAAAAATATATTCACATTGCCCTCAGGGCTTTGTCACAAAAACATGTGGATAAATCCACTTTATGACAGTCCTGTTGGTTATGCTAGTTTAAAAATATTTCCTTGGGAAAAAAAAAGGAGTTTAAGATAGACATACCAAATAATGTTAGGGTAAAACTTCAATATATAATTATGACTATTTCATATAATTCATATCTATCACCAGTGCCAGGTAACTTGCAAATTCTTATTTACATAGCCACAATGTGTTTACCTCCTTTTTACCAGCCCATTTATAAGCCAATGCAACATTTATGCATACTTGGTGTCAGATATTATGTGCTATAAACATTATTTTACTGGATATGCACTACATTATTGTACCACATGTCTATTTTAAAGACAAGAAAATTGGGGCTCAAATGGCCAAGTTACTTGCTCACAGACACACAATTTGTTAACAGAAGAGCTAGATCTTCTGTTGATCCCAGATCTACCTTTCTGCACTATCCAAACCTTAACATTATTCCACATCTACTGTTACAGTATGCCCCACAGTGGTTTGTGTGCCAAAATCTTGATCCTCTCTATGGCAGTACTAAAGTGGTACTATCTTTAAGGGGTAAGGCCTAACAGAAGGTAATTAGGTCACCAGGTATCA